GAAAATGAAATAATGAAAAAGTAAAATAATATAAAAAGATTTTATTATTCGTTGAATATTTTCATATTTTTTACTTATTTTTAAAATTTGTAATATTTATGTTACTATTGTCATCGTTTTACTTGGATTTCAAATATATTATATCTTCTTATATGCTCAACACGTGTTTTAAGTCAGATGGGAGAGATAAGATAAATAACTAAAGGTTGGTAATGTGTATTCAATAAATTACCAGTCAGCTAAAAAGTGACTTAAGAAATCTTCTTATAAATTAATGTGTATTTAATAATTACGACGATAGTTTATAAACAAGTAAAATATTATAAATTCAATTTATTAAATCATTCTATCAATATGACATCACAACGTGTGAAAGATCCAAACTATAAATATGACATTACAAACATGTAAGAGATCATTAACATAATATTACAATGTGTAAGAGGTTATAAATATAACATCACAAGATTATAACAAAACTAAAACAAAACTTTAAAAACTTAAATAATGAAATAATAAAAGGAATATTTAACATAATAAATATATTATTTTCAAAAGGATATTATTACCAAAGGAGTTTATTTTTGAGCCAATAATATTTAGAATTTAACTAATTAACTAATTGACTTGTTATTTGAGTTATTGAATTATTAACTTGTTAATTGAGTTATTAAATTATTGACTGATTTTTCTAAACTAAAATACATGTTTCTTTTATACAAAATTATTAAATCAAAACTACCAATAATATTCACAAGAAAATTGTTTGCTTGCTCGCTTGTTTACTTGCTCACTTGCTTACTTGCTTGTTTGCTCGCTTGTTCACTCACTTGATCACTAATCTTGTGATCCAGTATAAATATAAATATAGATTATCTAGTATAATCTAAATAAATAATCTACATATTATTTGTAAATAATAATATAAATGTGATACAAATAATAATATAAATAATAATACAAATAATAATGTAATACGAAGTGTAAATAAGAAGATTTTAACTAATTAAATATAAACATGTGTTCTTAAAATTATCCAATAAGATTAAATAATAATTTTGATTAATAATTAATGTGAAATTCTATTATACAACAATATACAGTAACTTGTAAACAAAATAAAATACAATATATAAAAATTAGTTCCAATCAAAAATTTTTATTAAAAAATATATAATAAAAAAATTTATTTGTATTAATTTTATATAAAAGTAATCAAATTTTTAATTTAATAATAAAATAATTTTTATTACTATATTAAAAATTATTATATATATAAAAAATCTGAAAATATTATTTTGTTTAATTCAAATATTTTATTATTTTATAATTATATTTAATATTTATTATATTTTTTGAATAAGAAATAATAATTTTAAATTTTATTAATTTAGTAATTAAAACTAAGTTATACATATTATAATATTAAAATTTATTATAAAATATAAGAAAATCTAGATTTTTTATATAAAGTTTTTAATTTTATTAATATTGTTTATTATTATAAAAAAATATAAATAATAATTCATATTTTAATATATATTTTTTAGATTTAATTTGAAAAAATTTTTCTAATTGCAAAATTATAACAAAAATTTTTTATAATTAATTTTAATAATAACTTTATAATTAAAATAACTTTATTATTTTAATTTATAAAACCTTTTAATTTAATATAAAAACAAAATTTTCTAAATTTAATTTGTAATTTTATAGTTATTAAACAAATTTTAAAAGGTTTGTTTTTGTATTAAATTAAAAAATTTTAAAAATTAAAACAAATTGTTAAATATAAATTACTTAAATAATAATAAAATTCAAAACTTTTATATAAAAAAAACTTGTATTTTATTAATAAATTTAATATTATTTTATTTCTTTTGCAAATCACTATATATAATAAATATATCAAATAAAAGTTAATTTAAAAATAATTATATACTAATAACTATCTTAATCAAATATATTATATAATAATTAAACATTTTTTATTTTAAATTTTTTAATTGTTCTGAATTATTTAATTTAAATTACTAGTATTAATATATATAATAAATATAATAAATATTATTAGTATTTTTTATTATTATTTAATAAACTAATTAAATATAGAATTAAACTAATTTAATATAAACTAATACTAATAAAATTCAAATAAAAAGAACTAAAAAATATATAATAATAAAATTAAATATATAAAAAATATATATAATATAAATCTAATTCAAAATAAAAAACTAGCTAAAAATTTTAAAAATAATTATAATATATAATTTACAAAGTTATATTTAAATAATTTATTAATTTGAGTTATAATTTTATAAAAATTATATATTTAATCAATTTTATTAATTATAAAATTAAATTTATATAATAGTTTAAAAATATTAATCACTTTTAATGAATTATTTTGATAATTTTTGAAATATATTTATTTTTAATTATATTTAAATTTAAAAATTAATTTATAATATTTATCAATATTATTATATGAATAATATATAAAAAATTAACCAAAGAATTATTTTTTAGTAATTTATATTTAATATTAGTAAATATTATTAAATATTAAAAAATATTTATTTAAAAACATAAAATATTATATTAATTAAATTAAACTATTATTTTTATCATTATTTATTTTAAATAAGAAATTAAATAATATAATTGATTACAAATATTATTTAATTTTTTTCTTTATAAATTATTATTAAATTTAAAAATTTATACAAAAATTTAGATTTAAAAATCTATAAAACTGTATTTAAAAAATTTTTAAAAATGATTATTAATATTATTATTTTTTAAAATAATATTCAATAAGTATCTAATATTAAAATTATATTATTTATTATAATATTTAATTGATATATAATGGCTAATAGAATTATAAAATTATATATATAATTCCATAAGTTTAAGAGTTACAATAATTAAAAAAATTTTTTTTAGTTCATTTTTATTTAATAAATATTATTTAAAAAAAGATTTTATTTTAATAAATTTTTTAATAAAATATACTAATTTTTTAAAAAATTGGATAAATATATTAGTCAATAAATAAATTATTAATTTTTCAGAAATAATTCAGAATAAAATATAGAATATTTTAAAAAATACTAATTTAAAAATACTAAAAAATCTAAAAATCGCTAAAATTTTTTAAAAAAGAGCAAAACTTTTTGTAATTAAACCAAAAATTCAAAATATTAAATATTAAAAAAATATTCAAAAAATATTTTTAGCAAAAAAAATATATGTTATAATATAAATTATAATTTTTAGTTTGATATAAAAATAAAAGTTATTTTTTTAAAATAATATCATATAAATTATATAGTGGCAATCAATATTTTTTATTTTTATACAAAAATACAAATAATAATCCATATTTTAACATATATTTTATCTTTCGAATTGCAAAGTTTAATTTTTTATGTTTTAATTATAAAAATTGATCAACTTATTTTGAAATTAGAAAAAAATATGTTATGATTTTACTAATCAATATTTTTTATACAAAAATACAAACAAAAGACTTTTATATAAAGAGAAAAAACCCGTATTCTATTACGTTTTATGATGTTGTGCATTTCTTTGATTGCCACTATATTATATTTATTTTTTTTGTCTTTAATTTTAGTTTTTATGTTTTACTCAATTTTTCTTTATATCCATTTCACATACTTTATTTTCGAAATTCACAATGTAAACAAAAATTCGCTATCTTCTACAGTACCAGTTTGTTTAGCTAATGGTTCGGTCGGTAAACGGTTTACTAAAAAAACAAATCCGAACCGGACCCTAATTACCAAGATCATAGGATATTTTAGCCTAAATTACTATTACTATACAGTAATTTTTTGTTTACATTTATAGAATAGTCAAGATATTTTCATATTACATGTTACGTTTTAAATATCTTGATTGACTGCTTGTGTATGACTATAATAATTGTCGCGTTTGGATAATGTATTTTTTTATTACCATTGGAGAAAATTTAAATCTTAATTCTTTCCGACTTCTTTAATAAAATCAAGTATGTTTCTGCAAGATGAATAAAACCGTCTACGTATATGTTAAGGTTTAAATTTTCTCCAAAGGGAGTGTTTTAGGCAGCGCTACGTACTGTCACAGAATAATTATTTGTAACCTTGGATGATATCTATTAAAATAAGCATCAACGCACACTTTTATGCCCCCCTTACATCCCTTATATCAAACACTTATTTTGTAATCAGAATGGGGAGAATATTTTAACCCACAACCTAAACAAAACAAAACATTAATGTGAGGCTCAAAAGTAAAAATTATTGGAAACGCGCATTCAATAATTACCGTATATGATGAAATTGTCATTATCAATGACCAACTTCTTTTGTCCTTTCTTGTCACAAAAGAACAAAATCGAATAGTCTATTTCTATTCTTAGCATAGCATCATAAGCAAACACAAATAAAACATGATTTTTGTGTCATTTTATGTGGCGCAATGACAATAACACTACTCATAAAAACGTAAATATAACGATAACAATTAGCGTTCGGTCCGTGGAGTTTTTGAAACCCCGTAGTCTACGTATGATGATAATATTGCGTATGCATTGCGTGAAGGGTAGATGGAATTTAACATTAAACATTGGATTCCTCCATAAGTTTGATCCGCGAGTATACATGTGATATTCTTTAGCGTTAGCATTAAATGCTGATACTACAATGAAACAGGAAAATTTCAAAAATTTACTATGTACATGTAATAATCAGCAATTTTTTATTATAAAGTCGAAATATTTACATTATAGTAGAGCCAATTTTGTTAAAAAAAGCTATACAAGAAATGAAGAAAAGCTACTTACAAAGATCAAAAGAAAAGGAAAATCTATATGAAAGTCTTTTTTTTTGGGTGAAAAGGGTCTATTTTTATGCAAAATTTTTGTATGTATGTACGTATATTATTTATAAATGAATGATCGCTTTCGTTTTTGTTCGGCAGCCCAAATATTACTTATTAGCAGCGCGCACAACTCGCTCATCAATAACCTCAAGATAATAATGACACGCTCCACCACGCATAACAAAATTATCTTCGTTATAAGGATACAAGACTTTTATGTTCTGCCGCGAGGATGACAAGTTGTCTATCTTGTTAGAAATCTCATTCACGCGAATTAATGTGTATACGTTCACAATACCCATCAATATGAATCCAATAAAGATTATGGTGTTTTGTGAAGGCAATGATGATGGTATGTTGTCTGATATCTTTAGTACCCATTGTATCATATTGGTCAAAGATCCTGAAAAGTCTGGAATGTATGACGCCATTGAGGATATATACGTATAGGTGTTATCGCTGATTGTTGTTGTTATTGATTGCTTATTATTATTAGTATTATTAGTATTAGCATTATCTGAAGACGGTGACAAAGAGGAGGATGCAATCGAAGAAGACGCAAATTCAATAGATCTGTCTTGTGAAGGCGGTGGCAAACTTCGCGTATTTCCTACTTTCTTTGCATGTATTTCAGGATTTGATAGAAGCGTCACTAATTTCTCGCGCTTCACACTACTATTATCAGTTCCTTCTATCGTCGTCGAAGTACTGTCTTTGTGAAATTCTGCAGGATGTTCTTTAATGTATGTGCGCACCGTGTTCGCTAGCGCTGCATAGAATTCTATTTGGCCGTCGATCGAGGCTCGTTCAATTTGCCCTAATTAGAATAAAATGAATTACAATTAATTAAACTGATTTCGCGATCAGGAGTTTAAATAGAAAAATACATACTTCTTATCAAACTAGACTTTGACCATTCTAGTGCAGCAGTAATCATAACACGAGCCTGGTTCTCACCAGCCCACATGATGCACACGCGTGTTTTAATACAGAATGCGCTACCTGATGGCACGTAGGGGGTTCGTGTAGTTATAATCGTTGTGACATGACTAAAAAGATCATAAAACTTTAGTTACCATTCAAAGCTAGCGAAAATTTGGATTTATTAAATGTGTGAAATATTTACTTTTCAAAGTCACGAAACAAGCACTCCTCGTCAAATACACATTTGGTGCTTTTTGGTCCTATTGCAAAGTTCAGTTTCTTCATGTATGACGAAGAACGATTTAATTTTTTGGAATTGTCTGGTGTCCATTCGCCAATGTTAACATCTAATAAAAAAAATAACGAATTAGTTAAGAACAATTTAAAATTGATTAAAATTTATAAATAAAAAGTTACCGGTAGCCTCTTCAACGTTCAACAGGAAATCCTTATAAAATTCATTAAACATCAAATTGAAAATCTGTTCGATGCTTCCATCAAACACCGAATCAAAAATCAAGTTCCCGTAGTGCTCGTTATTAATCAAACAATTACATTTGGTGGGAATTCGTGGTTCTTTTTTTGTTATGGGCGTGACAGTATATGATTCTTTACGCGTTGGGCGTGGTGGTGGTAGTAATTGTACAATGGCGGGTGGTGGTGTCGAGTTTGATGGAGAATCTAAGTCTTCAGATATGGTATGTTGAGAGAGAGGGATTGATGCAGCTTCTCTTGGAGATTGATGAGAATTTGGTGTGGGTGTTTCTTCGATTACTTTATCGTCTCGACGGATTTTATTTCTCGGGTGTATTAGTCGCTGAATATCAAATTTCTTTGGTCTTTTTGTACCTGGCAAATTTTTATGTTAATCTTTTTAATTTTAATTAATATATTTAAAAAAGAAAACGCGATTAAGTACCTTCAGATGCGTAATCCTCTTCAGTAGCAGAAACCTCACTTAACGATTGATGCTGATTCATTGATGACCCCAATTCAAACGATATTGAGGAGTTATTCTTTGACGCTTCCCATAGGCTCATTAACAGTTCGAATACAGAGTCGCGTGATAAAAGAGAGGCAAAGAAAAACTTGATTATTTATAAAAATTGAAAAAAGGTTAATGTTGCATTTCAATATTTCGAGAACCAAGATTATTTATTAACTACCTTTTGTTTTGGAGTGGAAATTTGAATTGCATTTGGAATTATTAGTGCGGTCATTTTCTTTTCTATTGAAATTATGTCTGTGAAATTGATTACAGTCTAATATTATGGAGATTTTTTGGTTTAGTTAGATTGGTTTTTTTTTTTAAAAAAAAAACTATACAAATATGCCATTAATTACTTACATTAGTAATCCACCCAAGAATATTTGCATGAAAACAAACATGCTTTAATGAAATGTACATTCTTCCTTGTGCCAGAATCTCACGTTGAAGTGCGCAACCATAATCTACATAATAATACGCGTGCGTTAATAAATAAACAATACGCGCGCGCGTTAATAAGTACAGAATATAAAAATAATGAAATTACCATTAACAAGTTCTTCATCCTCAGGCATAGCAAACAATGAATGAAACGCTTTATTTCTTTTAGCACCCGCCATTGTATACGAAGTCAACAATGGAGTCCCGTTCGGATGAACGATTGTTAATGACGATGAATTTTGATTTCGTCGTTTGCGTCTATGCGCCAATTTACTCTCCCCGGAGATTGACGGGAATCGACTTGAAGTCGCTGATTTTGGCACTTGAAGACCAGACGGTGATGAGATTGTGGTTTCATGGGTATGGTTGCTGGAAGATGGTGTGTAATTGGATTGTGGAATGTTATTTTCAGAGTCTGCCACAATTTCAATTTCGAGATTCGAAGAAATTGAAGAATTTGAATTTCTTTTGGAAACTGATGAATTGTTGTTAGATTTTGACGCCGTGTTAGAGTGACGTCGATTTTTAATACGCGAAATTAAACTATTTTTCATGTTCAGTTTCATGTTATCGTCTTCTGGTATTTGATTGTTATTCGATGATACAAAAGAATGACTACTAATATCGTTATGATCTTTTCGACTATTCTTACGGTTCAATTCTTTTATTGCTGCTGTTGGTGCCTCCGCTGCTACTTCCAATATATTATTATTATTATTGTTATTTAGAGTAACACTTGAAGATGTAGAGTACGTTGGTGAATTCGGATTCGTGGAAGAAGGTGACAACGTTTCGTCGTTTTCATGATCTTTTGGTACCGTAGTAAGATTAAATACGGGCGATGTTGTCCGAGTCCAAGTGTTTTTCATTTCGATTTCATGCTGGCCAAGATTATAATTTTCTAGATTTTCATCTTTATCATTTTTGTTGTCTAGTTGTGGTTGGTGAAGTAGTGCGGGTGGACTTGGCGGTGGTGTGCCAGCTCCGTCAAAACGATTGTCCTGTGGCTGTTTTAGTTGTGCATTAATTGACAATAATAATTCCGTGGATTTTTGGGTAGAACTTCCATTAAATTCTTCCGAATCAGATGGCGGTGTTCTTGGGGCAGAAAGAATTCTTTTATTATTGTTTGGTTTACTATTAGCAGTAATAGTAGTAGCAGTAGTATCACTATTATTGTTATGGCTATGGTTATTATTATGATTATTGTTATGATTATTTTGTTGATTTTTATTCTGTTTATTATTATTAACGTTAATTTTATTATTCTGTTGTTTTTGTGATAGTTGCCGTCTCTTACTCTTTTGACAAAATCTTGGCGATGATTGTGACATTGTTGTGTTGTAATACAATATTATCGTTATAGATAAATCCAAAAGTGTATATTTATTGTCGTTGTCATTTATTTCTATTCACCGTCTTCTCTTTATTCTTTTTGTTCTTGGTAATGGAATTGATTCTGATGGATAATCGGATTTTTTTTCGATACAAATAGTTGTTTCGTTTTACCGTAACCTACTGCTCTTAACTAAATGCACATATCCAAAAGCGCTTATGGTTTTATGGAATTGAACGAATTGATTGATTAAATAAAAAAAAATGAGTGTGATGTTGAGAAAGGATATACAGTGTGTATATATACATATCTCTCTCGATATCGATATTATATAAAATCTCTTTATTATGTGTATAATATTAGTAATCGTGATGTCGATGATTCTGTTGTGTTATCATTCTCGTTATTGTTGGTTAATATTAAAGAGATGATGTTCATAATAATTGTTAACGTTAATGCCACCAATTATTTCTTATTTTTTTTATAATTAACGCAAAAAGTCAAGAGTGAATCGATAAATTCGGGTAAACTCTGTTACCGCCTTTCTTTAAAAAAACTTCAATCGCGATAATAATGGGCTTTGGTTACGCACACGGAAGAGAGAGAAAAAAGGATAATCGGGAAATCTTTTACAAACCAGGGGGCCGATTTATCCGTTACGTTTTTTTACCCATTTTAGATTTGATGTAAGCATATGCATGTGAATAAAACGAATTGTGGAGACGATTTCTAAAGATATACGTATTTAAAGTTACGTACTCCTTTCGAATCGCATATTCGACATTTCTTGCCATCAGAATTTCGTGACTTCAGAATTTCTACGTACGTAATAGCATTATTCTAAAGGGTAACACAAAAAACGAATCATTTTTCCCGTGATATACAGACAATGGATGTTTATCCTTATTCAATTCGTTATTTGTTGGATTATTCTGCATTTACTAATTTTCACCCGAAGTTTCTATTGGTCAGAGGAGATCCCAATCTCCGATTGGACGAAATTGGTGGTG